CACGAACAAAAGTACATAAGAAAATGAAAAAAATACTTTCATGGGCAGTAGCAACTTTTTTGTGCTGTCTTGGCATTTTTTCAACTGTTGCGCCGATCTTCGTCAGGATCCAAGATTCCCAATCCTGCTCGATCCGAGCCCCAAATGGTTCCACCTTGAAGCGATAACATGCAGTCAAGGAAACAAGATTTGTGGCTCTACCTATGATGCCAAAATCTAAGCAAAATCGCACAAAAAAAATGCGCGTCCCTCTTTGTGCTGGACAGATGGGAAAAGGGGCTCAGTTAGCTCCGTTGTGGGCCTCTCCCCATCCTCGCCACTCGCTGCGCCGCGCACTGCAGCTATCACGTGCCAAGTGCTTGGCCGATTCTGCCGTGTTGCTAGTAGTGGCGCCGCGCCCGCTGAGCTGCTACGAGAGCCTCCTCTGAATGACACGTGGCGGCGAACGCCTCATTCGCTGTGTGATCTGGGGTCGATGTCTGTGGTTTAGGGATTTTCGCGATTCATATTTTGGTAAGTCAATTAGGTTTGTTTTGTGGAAGTTTGGACAACGGAAAACTAGTCTGTAGCAAAGAGTGCCTGGTGTCTCGGCTGTAGATGATAAACTTGGCCAGTGACAGTACTGGTGGTACGACCACTAGCTTGTGTCTTTAAATTGTATCACGCAGGGCTGAGTACACGAACGTGCAATGGTACAATTTTCATTTTAGAAACAACAAAGAAGTGGTAATCGAGCCCAAGGTGCCTGGATTCCATAGCGCGAGCTTTGCTCTAGCAGACTCGGCCAACCTTTCCCCCTTTTGACAAGTCAATTGTCAAAGTACAACACCTCGTTTCTGATGTCGCTCGGAATATATTTGGTGCTATAGTGTTTCCTAAAATGCCGCGAATGTCGCGCAGGTACAGTCGCCGGCCATATGAGCTCCCCCGGCCGAACGCCGACCGGAGCAGCGTAAATCCCGCATGCGGCGCGTCGAGCGTTGCCGCGTTCTGGGAGCCGGGCTTTTGGGACCAAACCATTTTGTTATCAAAGGGGTGGACGTAGGAAGTTTGATAGCAATTCGCGTTTTGAAATCTGAATCTGAAGCGCGGCCAATTACAATCCCGCTTCCGGTTGTAGGTAAACGCAAACGGCTTATCGAAATTCTTCACTGCATAATATCTCTGACGTGTGATATGGTACTTTTTTTATTTGCAAAACCGGTTTGTCATTTTAAATAGTTCCTACCCAAACAGTAATCCTACGCACAAGAGCCCCCCTTTCTTACAATCTTTCTTAAACATGGACTAGACAATGGCAAGCAATTTTGAAATGATTTATTTAATTTATAAGGATATGCTATAGATAACAAAAATAAAATTTTTGTGTCGAAGCAGAATAAAGATTTAGGCGCTTTTCATGAACGCGTTTTATCGAGGAGATTCCATTGTTCTGCGTTCAGTAGCGTGTTGCTTCGCCAAGGGTAATTCTCTACACAATGACTTTGCAGGTGGCTTCCTGTTCGGCCACTTCTCGCTTGCCGAGGGATCATTGTTGTCATGCCTCATATCATATCAAACATAGGGTTTTTACATTTGTAAGCATCAATCGAATACTGCTGCTTTATCCACGCCTAAAGCAAGCTCCAGTTTATCTGCAGTTATAACATAATCTCCGAACAGTTTGGGCCAACACCCGAAAACGACAATTCTAACCGGCCTTTTTTTTTTTTATTCACACTTTGAAAGGCTGGAATCCCGATAAAAGGTATGCGTCCTGCGTCCACCCCTTTGATAACGGAATGGTTTGGTTCCAATAGCCCGGTTCCCAAAACGCGGCAACGCTCGACGTGCCGCGTGCGGGATTTTCGCCGATCCGGTTGGCGTTCGGCCGGGGGAGCTCATATGGCCGGCGACTGTACGTCAGTTTGCACTAGCATTAATTCAGTTTCGTGTTATCGATTTTTCGCGCTCAACTACTACAATGAAGTTATCTCTACTACGGAAAATTTCTCCGATCCCGCGGACTTTGTTATACTAAAGGTGTTTTTTGTCTGTAGTAGGTTTGAGGGTAGACAGTCTTTGGGCTGCGCGAGAAAGGTAAAAAAAACTGGCAATTGTGATTCATGCTGCCAGTCTCTTGTGCATACCTTGTGCAGCTATGGTATTGCTTTTTTGGGTTGAACGCCGTAGTGGGACCACCTTTGATACTTCTTTACTCAATGGCAACATACCGTAAAATACCACGGAAGTGCCCACATGGTTGTAGCACCCACTGTTAACATTTCGCACACTTGGGAATTCTGCAAACTATACATTAAGTGCCCGATTTGACCGGACAAGTGCCCATGTCTAGATGAACTCAGTTTTCAGTGAAAGTGGGGTGGGCGCTGCCCCGGTATTTTACAGTAGCTGCCAGGAATGGGCAGTATTTCAGATACAAGTATTTGAAATACATATTTTAAATACTTGTGTATTTTGCATTCATATTTAATTACAAATTCGGTAATGTATTTGACGTGTGTATTTAAATACCAAAACGAGGGTATTTCAAATACAAATGTAATTAAATACAATTTTCTGGGCGAAAATACATCTCTCAAATTTATTGTCACTGTCCAGAGCAGGAAGAAAACTACGTTCTGCACGGAATGCAGTGTTTCTCAATCAAGCACAAACGTTTGGTGACTTTCTGATTACGGTGCTATGGACTAGCACTGTAATCAGAAAGTCGCCAAACGTTTGTGCTTGAATAGTGAATAGTGGGCAAGAATAGTGACGAAATCGACATTCACAGGCAAACTGGTAAAATAAGTGCCCGTGACGACTTGTGATGCTTTCCAGCCTGATTTCCACCCATATTTTTGCCTGGAACATTCTAGATGCGCGGGTCGTCCAGATTTCCGTAACTGGTGCGAGTTGCAACAATAAAAATTTCTCTAGCTATACTCCTCGACAACTTTTCTTGGCAATGCAGTGGAAGGTACAGGCACGCGTTCCCTCTTTCATTTTGAGCGCAGCAAAGCTGTGCGCGGGCTCTCCTCCTCTTTCCATTTCCGGGAAGAGGAGGAGAGCCCGCACACACTCAAAATGGGTGAGGGAATGCAGGCCTGTACCTTCCACTGTATTGCCAAGAAAAGTTGTCACGGAGTATAGTGCTGCTTGTCTTGGTCGTCTCGGTTCTTTGTTGGTCTTTACCAAAATGTAATCGACAAAAAAAGTTGCTTGAAGCTCTTTACTTTTTTCACCTATTACGTCCAAGCTGATTACATTTTTTTTGTGATTATATTTCTATTACGTTACTAGAGCCTCGCACACTAACTCCCGAGTGTGCGATGCAAAATTAAAATGAGATACCCAGAAACCCGTTGTAGGTGCCCTGAAGTCGCTGACGCGAATTTTGAGGAATGTATTTGGAAAAGTATTTGGAGGAGATCAAATGCATTTGGTTGTATTTGTATCTTGTGCTTAAATGCTTCTTTGTGGAAATGTAATTAGATTTGTAATTAAATACATTTTTGACGAAGTATTTTGTATTTGTATTTCGATACATATTTGCATGTATTTTGCCCATCCCTGGTAGCTGCCATGTAATACTCTATGTGTATACAGGGTGTTTTAGTCTTTACAGATTTGTCTTAAATAAGCAGTGAAAACTACACTAATGTGGTTGGTGCAGTGGACTTATACGACCACAGGAACATAATATAGGAGGCTAATTAACATATGTTTATTAACTTTTTAATTACTGTAGTATCCTGAGAGATGGGGAAATTACGGTAATGGAGGGGGACCACTTTTGGCACAATAATTTTTTTTTTTTTTTTCAAAACACCGGAAGATAGCTTACTTCTAGTAACTGCAATTCCCAAGTCAGTGGTGAACATGGTGGAAACAAGGACAGTTCGGAATGCGATAAATGCTGACTGAGAAGAACAGTAGTCTTTAAACAGAAAGGTCACAGGACCTACGTGAATAAGTGATTGACATTTTGTTTGACAATGATAATGACTGCTCATTTAAAGGTTTTGAGGGCGATTGAACGAAGCATAAACACACCTTTACATTCTTTTGCTACAAGTTATTGTTTCCAACTTTTCTTGGTTATACACCGAAACTTAGCCCACTCCCTGTTTTCGCCCGATTCGCTCTCGATTTTAGGTGGGCTGTCTCTCTAGATATTACACTAGTGAACGTAAGATATGGATCTTATTAGAAACTTGCTGACCATCATTGAAAACCACTAAATAAGTAAACTCTAGAAAAATTTGAAGCAGTTAGGAAGCACAGTAGTGTGCTAAAGTTACTACTCAGTGCAACAGTAGCAAAGCTGGTGGTATGAAAACGCAGATGATGATAGACGGAAAAACCGTGCGGATGCATTGTCGTGCCCTCAGCTTTGTGCCTTTAGCACAAGTTGTAACTTTAATGTACCACCGGGCTTCCGATGTGCTTCAAATCTTTATAAAATTGACTAATTCAGTAGTTTTCAATGACACTCGGCAAGTTTGTAATTGGAACCATATGCTTTGCCTCACTGATTAAAAAGTTAATGAAAAAGTTTCATTTAATTAACCGACTTACTGTGACAGTTAGCCCCTCATATTATGTTCCCCTGGCTGTATAACTCGATCAGCACAGACCGCATTTGTGTAGCTTTAACGGCTTTTTTTTTATAAATAGTCTGTAAAGCCTAAAAAAAAAAAGCACTCTTCATATATGGGGTCCGGTTAAACGTGAGCAGGATTGTGCTTATCTAAAATTTGTATAGTTAGCTTATTGTAAAAGTTTAGTGTTTCTTGTTGTTAATTTGACTCCTGAATACTCGACTTTCTAAGGGCTGCTAAAGGAAACAGTTGCACTTTGTCTGTTTTTTTATGCGGTAAAGACACTTCTGCATAGCATTATCAACTCACTAGAAAATGTTGCTTACATGAATCATTTTGACAATGTTCTTGATGTAAGCACATAATTTTCTGTCACTGAATAGCTTGGACAAATTTTTCCTTTTTTTACTGCAGAAATACGAATTGCTGAAGACTGAGGAAATCCCTCACTTGAAAGACTCACACTTTTCACCGAGAGTCGTCAAAGATATTGCGCAGAACATACTCTCGTTCCTGAAGGTGAATGCCGCAAAAAGTGGACACACCTACTGGCTTTTCAAAGGTTAGTTTTTTCTTTGCTTTTATCAGCTGAGTCTGTACTCAGCTGAATCTGGTGCAGGGGGCATGTGGTTGACTGGTTGACTGAACCGCGCAATCACGGTTCCTTCGACCGCTGTGGTGAGGTTGACTTGCCTAATTTTTCATCTGCAAATAACATAAATAAATATCTGTTTTGGAGTAATCCCATTAACAACATACAGGAAGTCCCTTTTCGTTTTTGTCTTCAAATGCTGGTTTTACAGGCTGTTTTTTTGGTAAGCACAGTTTTGAACTTGGAAATCTCGCTCTGATCTTTCGGCAGGGAAGAATGATGACGTGGTGAAGCTATACGACCTGACTGTACTCTGCTCAGAACTGGTGGATGACAAGCAGCAAAACCCGTTTACACTGCCCGTGGCTGTGCTTCTCTTTCGAGTGGCTGCCAACATGAAAGAGAGCCCGGACTGCAAACACAAGCAGGGCACCATTTACCGCCTGCTCAAGAACTCTCTACAACTTCTGGACTCAAGCAAACACCCACATGTAGGTATCACTCTTCGAACGTTCACTGGCTTGTTTCGACGCCACGCCTATGTGACGAGTTTAGCTTAATGTTGGTTGATGCTTTTGTTAACACCCCACATGTCGACTTCTATGCAGAGAACATGGGAAGCCCCAATCATTGCTATTTATGAAAGGAAAGCAGTGAAATCGTAAGACACCAATATATTGGGGCTTAGAAAATAGGGTCAGTGCTAGGATTCTGAGCTTGAGAACATCGTGCTCGGTATCCCTGTACACGCCACATTTTTGGGTGAGACCTTATCGGTGCCTTAATATATCGCTGAACTCTAGGCGTATGCGAATAGTGGTTTTAAGTTAGAAGCGAATAGTGGTTTTGGCCAAATATTTTGTCATTGAATATTGAATAGTTTCTTAAAGCCTTTCACTACTGCAGCATGTTTAAACGACAACCCAGCTGAACTTATGAAGGCTGTTCCCAACCTTCTAAGCTAAGCTAATTTTAATATAACTATATTTGTGGACTGTGGCCTCAGAAAGACCAATGACTACATAGGGATAGCAGGTAAACGATGCATTTGACATAAAATTAAGCCTATAGGAATGCCCAGCTACACCCAATTTAGATTTACAAATTTACTTGCTATATGCTGACACCTTTTCTTCATTCTAAAGTTTGAAAAAAAAAAGGCATCTTTGCCTACCATATTCTCTTGCGTAGAAGCCACAGTTTACTTTTGAAAATTTTACTGCAATATAGATATCTACATTCACAAAGTTCCCATTTCTTTTTAAATACATCAGACGTGCACATGCACCATTCCTCTTTGAAAGTGCTTTTCTCCTTAGCACGCCACTCCGATATATGTACTTTTTGAAATGTTGATTGCTGTGGGTTAGCCTTGTTGAGTGTACTTGTTATTGAGTATCGGTGCACTAAGGAGAAACAACACTGTCAAAACCGAACTCTGCAGGTGTTGCTTCTCCGCAATGCTCTGGTGCTCGGTAAGAAGCGTGCTCAACACGATTAACTTGCCGCGACCAACACTTAAAAAAAAATATGAATGTCACAGTTCATCTTGAAGCAAATATCGAATAGTGTATTATTTGAAAGAACTGTTTGAATATTTACACAATTCCACCAGTAACTTCTTTTCTGAATGGCCAGTTGGAATGAGTGTTGATACAAACTGAGTACTAAACATGGTACCTGCAAACCCGTGTCGTTTGTCCAAATAGTCTGTGAATTCGAGCTGGGCAATATGAAAGCATTACAAATCACAGTTTTGCATAAAAATGCAATGAAACAACTGTGTGTACCTGTAATGGCCAAGATAATTGCATCAAGAATTGCCGCTTCACTCGGAGTATTATTAAGCCGCTATTCCTACACCCATGTCAGGTATTGTGTTTGAACCCGCAGGCATCGCTAAACTCATTGACAACCTTAAAATCTCTTCATCAGGAGGCATGGATAACGTAAATCCAAAAATTCTAAAAAACACGAAAGACTTGGTGAGCGTGATATTAGCTAAAATATTTTCGCAATCTCTTTCTAGTAGTCTTCTGCCTGATGACTGGAAAGTGGCAAAGATTGTCCCGATTTTCAAAAATGGTGACAAATACTCCCCATTTAACTATCGACCCATCTCCCTAACAAGCGTATCATGCAAACTAATGGAGCATATCATCTACACTAACATCATTCAATTTCTGTCAGACAACTGTTTCATCAACCCATCCCAGCACGGCTTTCGAAAAGATTTTTCATGTGAAACTCAACTTCCATCGTTTACTCATGACATACATGTTAACCTTGATTCAAACATTCAGACTGACGCTATCTTCCTGGACTTTGCCAAAGCGTTTGATAAAATTCCTCATAGACGACTCATATACAAGCTTTCTAAACTCAACGTAGATTCCTCGATTCTGAACTGGATCTTTAACTTTTTAACTAACAGACAGCAACTTGTTACCGCTAACCAGTCATCATCTTCTTTTGCTCCAGTCATTTCCGGTGTTCCTCAAGGATCGGTCCTCGGACCCCTTCTATTTTTAATTTACATTAATGACATGCCTATATCAATAACATCGCATGTTCGTCTTTTCGCTGACGACTGTGTCATCTATCGCCAAATGACTAACCCATCAGATCACGAACTCATCCAAGATGACCTCAACCGCATCCAAGCATGGTGCAATACATGGCAGATGTGTCTCAACGTCAATAAGTGCAAGCTTGTGTCGTTTACACGTCGCTCTAAACCCTCAATCTTTCCCTACTCCCTTAACAGCGTTCCTTTGGAAAAAACTAATTCTTACAAGTATCTCGGAGTTCATCTTACATCCAATCTTTCCTGGGCTACTCATATCAGTCACACCATATCTTCTGCTAATCGCTCTCTAGGTTTTTTGAGGCGCAATTTGAAACTGGCCCCTCCTCACATAAAACAACTTGCCTACTCATCCCTTATCCGCCCTAAACTGGAATACGCATCTGCTATCTGGGATCCGCACCAAGCCTACCTCATCAATAGCATCGAATCAGTTCAGCGTCGAGCATTACGTTTTATTTACTCAGATTATTCTTCTTTTACTAGCGTCGCATCTCTTCGAACCCGTGCCAATCTCCCCCTCCTCTCTGAACGCCGCCGTTTAGCTAGGTTATCTCTTTTTCACAATTTTTTTTACAGCCCGTGCCTCCAATTATCATACATCGTTCTTTCTGTACGCCGCAACCGTCGCACGGGTCAGAATCTTGATGTACAGCGTCCAAAGGCAAGAACCACCACATTTCAGAACTCATTTTTTTCACGTACAGCCTCTGATTGGAACGGGCTCTCCCAGAACATTGTAACTACTCATGACTCATTAGAATTTAAAGGATTAATACGTGCAATCGCGTTCTAGGTATTTTTTTTTGTTTTGTTTGCATACTAATTGTCTTGACGATTTTGTTTTATTTTATATGCATAATTTGCTTTTGTGACATTTGTACCCTTTTGTTGATGTTTATTGTATCCCACCCCTTATGTAATACCCCCTACTGGGGTCCTTAAGGTATATAAATGAATAAATAAAAAAGCCTCTTTTGTGTGTCGCGTTCTGCACTTCAATTGTAGTTGCAATTCTTTTAAGGTTGGTTGCTAATTTCATTTTCAATTCCACTAGGAATGCAAGCTCATCTCGAGAAGGAAAAGCCAGCAAGTAATGTCACATCATAATGTAAACCCTGAGGCATGGGGAAATAAAATAATGGGCAAGTTGTCTAGTCCCTTATTATATTTCTCGATATCTCAAGGTTTAGATTATGATGTTTCCTAACCATCTCGCCTGCATACTTTCGTTTCTTGCAAAGAATGTCACTTATTTTGCAAAGTGAAACAACCTCACAGGAACTGCAGGTGCAAAATGCAGGAACAGACAAGCTTAAGGGCCCATCCCCACAGCACCGCTTGACTATGTTCGACTGCTGTTAAATTCGGCGTGCATGCCCACGCGTAAGAGATGAATGGAGAAGATCTTGGGGGGCCTTCACTCTGAATGTTCAAATTAACTGCCGCGGCAGGAGACGCTATCATTGTCTTAAAAATGAAATATTATTCTGAGTCCCGTTGCCTGAAGGAATACCGTGGTGTACAGAGTCCCTGGAAACGTTGCTAATGGAAACGTGCAAAAACTTGTAACCTAGATATCCGAAGGAACCACAATTGGGTTTAATTCCACCCTGCGAACATACTAAAAAAAAAAAAAAAAAAATGTGTGGCACAGATTTTTAGTACGAAAACCCATTTGTCGTGCAGATTGTGTCGTCGGTCCACTCACTGCTGTCGGACCTCTTTGTACCGAGCGACTTGGACCCCGGCTCAGTTCGGGCCGAGAGCCCCGAGAACAGCGAGCACAGCGACGAGGGCCCCTGGCAGGACTCGGAGGAAGAGGAGGCCTCCAAGAACTTGGAGAACCCGTCAGTCTCGGTGGGAGCCCTGTGCGTGGCAGAGCGGATCCGGTCGGAAGGGCGCAGCGACGCCGAAAAGGCAGTGCTGCCCTACCGCACCAACTGGGAGGAGCGGTGTCGGCTTGCCCTCTTGCACGTGCTCCAGGTATGGCCACTGTCTTTTTCACTCGAGCTCTCTCAGCTTGCTTCGAAATTCTTGCCCCGGTACTTTTACAGAAAAATTGGGGATACTTTTTTTTTAAACAAACTTGACGAGCTTGTGCTGCTTGGAGCTTCTTATTTTTGTTTGCGTTCAAGGACAGAGCAGGATGCTTTGTAATTATGGTCATTGGCAACTTTGGAATAGCAGAGGTTGCCTTTCTGTTGCACTGACACCCCAAAGGTCGTATTTTTTTAATTGTCTAGAACGATGCAAATTGTAGTCATAAACATGTAAAAAAAAAAAATTGTGAAAAAAAATTTTCTCGCGTGCGCGCGACCCTTTTTATTTTTGCCACTTTTCTCCCCCGCTGCTCACCTCCTTGCTTCTTTTGATCGGTGACGTCAAAAATCAGGAAATTTAGAAGCTCTGTAGGCGACATTTCTATAACTTTTAATAACGGCTATCATAAAACATGTTTTTTAACCCAATTGCGAACGCACTATGGCCCCTCTTTTTGAAATACCAACAATCTGAGTCTGGTGTGATGTCGCTTCCCTGATTTATCCTCCCTCGGAAAACTTGGCGGCGCTCGAGCAGAGGATGATCGGCGAGTCGGGGAAGAAACCGGGTTCTTTCCCGCGCCGGCGCCCTTCTATCCCGTCTCCTCACCTCCTCCTCGCTTCGGGTCGCAGTGGCAACGGTGCTTTGCTTTGTAGCGTTGAGTGGAGGTCCGAAAGAAAGTCGACTCGCAGGAGACCGCAAAATTTGACTCACTGCACTGGCGCGGAGTGCGCAGGAACTTCAAATTCGGCATTTGGAAGTTGTTTTTTTAATTCACAAAAACTGAATTCCCGAGTTTCGAATTTTGAGGGTAATGTCCCGGCATCGTTTTCAATCGTTTCGGATAATAAAAAAAATATGATTTTGATGTGTCAGTGCCCCTTTTAGCTTTTTTTAAGTGCTTGCTCATAAAAGAATGCAGCTGTCTTTGATTTGGACGGTCATGGTTCGGACTGGACTGGTTTCGTGAGGCCGCGGCGCCGTTCCCACCATGCTCTTTCGCTCCGTTCGTTCACTCGTTACGTCCACTTTTCCTCGCTCTTGCTGGGGGCACGGCAAGCAAAACAATATAAGGTGCGGCTCACTGCGCCTGCACCGGTGGTGCCGCGCATGCGCCGTTGTGCATCTCCCAAATCACTCGGAGGCGCACGCGCGCGGGGGGTTTGGTCGTTGTGGTTGCCGTGTCGTCTGCTAGCTCACGGCCACTTTGAAACTGGGCTTGCATTATAAAATGAATGCAACTACTCGTATCTAAGCAGCACACACAATGTCCGAAGGTTCAAGAAGCTTTCTATCTGCTCCGTTGTACTTCAGTGTGAGATCTACATATCCCGAACACAGGGCGAACGGTATGTGAACCGTAGGCGGGCAATCGAGGGAAGCTGTGGTGGCTGCATCCGAAACCATCGACGGCCGGGAGAACAGACTGGCTGTTCGAAGACAATGGTATGCAGACCGCTGCAAGGTTGGAATTGACACTATTCTGATTTGCGCACCATCTGCCGGACGTTGCGCCAACCTTCTTGCGTAGCCTCAAACATGGCGACCCATGTATGAGGTGCACTGCTAAGGGAAAGTGATGCCGCACTACTGCTGTGTCTCGTTGTGCAATCAGTGGAAAACCATGAAGCCATCTGAAGAAAATATGTGAATTTCGTTTGTTTTGCTTTTCAATCTGAAGGTTTTACAGCGAATTTTGGAATAATTGTAGCGCTTTATTGGGACTATCCGAGTGGCGCAATGGCAGGACCCGCGCAACCTGCCTCTTCAGCGGGCTTTGTCAAATGCTTTCGATATATGAAGCTCCTTATTATCGTATTAAGCGTCCGGTACACCTAAGCACTTCTTATGAGTTGTAAATGCGAAAGCACGCACGCCGCTCTTCGCTCTCTTCTTTAATCTGCGGCGTACAACGCGCTGACCTTGGGCGTGGAACGGTGGAGCCGCTGCCTTGCGGACACGCAGCACCATCGGGTGAGCGATCGTTCAAACTGTTGTGTGCCTTGCAGCGCGAGGAAGGAACAGACAGCAACGTAGTTCCCAGCAGAACAATCCCCTTGGTTTATTCCATGCACCGTATATATTGCCATGCGCCGTACAACCCATAAGAGGCAAGCGAACGCGGTGATCAGTGATAACACAACAGTGTGATAACACAGTCAGGATGACACTGCACAAACCGACGCGCAGCGGCCAATGAGGGCCTCGTCAACGCGCGCCAGCCAATGGGACCGAAGTGTAAAAGGTGCCTTTAGCTAGCCTTGCGCGTGGTTTCATTTAGGTGTCGTTTTGCATGATTTCAAAGCTGATGACGTCGGTTCACTCCATGAGACAGTTAATGCTTTCACATTAAAACACCGAGACATCTGCAGCTCATGATTCTTCTATGGGGCTACTTCTTACATTGCTTGTCAAGCTGTGTGAGGCAAACAGTTTTTTCGGTGACTAGAGTCTTGGTGTCGTTTCAGTTATTCTGAACGGAACCAATGTATCTTTCTGAAGCATGCTTGCTAATACAATTCATTTCAAAGTACCTTACGCCTCCACCACATACCGGAGGACAAGATCGTAAGAACTAGCGCGGAGAACGCTATGCAGACAGTTGGGATGGAGGAGAAGCCTCAAAGATGGCACGCAGGCTCGATAGTTTGCGCGGGAGACGAGAGATGGTGCTAATAATGAATAAGGTCTATTCCCATCCTCCGCTGAGTTGGAACCCCTGCATTAAATGCTAATGCATTTCAGCCAGAATCAGTGTAGCAACAGCAGTGATTTTGGCATTATTTATTTATCTTTAGCAATGTTCTGCAGTTTCATGTTCTTGGAGCAGATGCACTTAGTGAAGGCCCCATCAGGGACACTAGAAAATAGATAGGTAGTCCCATTTCTGTCATTTGTATCCTGTCAGTGACACCCTCTGGTGGCACCACAGGAACTAAGTTGTGTGAAGCAGGGGTCTGCCGTAGTTCGTCGCACGCATTTGCAGCCATGGAGAACTCGGAGATAAGGCTCATCCAAAAGTTTTTTTTGGCACTAAAGGCATACTGAATAGAAGTACAGTAAAACCGCGATTATGCATCCCCAATTTATGCGATGTCTCACCATTTCACGACGATTTGGTGCGGGCCCAGCGAACTCCCCACAGGAACAATGTATCAGAAGTTTGGATTTCACGACGGGCGAATACACGCATCACGCACAATACCACGAACGATACCGTAAATGTGGTGCGTTGCTTCGCGGGGAAAAACGGAATGAAGCAATGGAACTGTGCCCATCGCTGGTGGTCGTCTTCTCCCTCCTTTTCCGGGAGGACGTTCCTTGCGTTCTTCTTCTCTTCAGTCAATCTGCTTTGCCGGCAGTGTTGCTTTTGGTTGTTTACCACCCCTTCTCCTCCCTTCAATCACGCTTTCCTTCGCCCTCAGGCTCCACTCATGCTGGCATGCTGCCAGGTGTTGTTGGCTGTGATCGCAACAGGCTTCTAAAAAGGCGGCAGGTTTCAGCGTATTGTGTTTATGATTTCCACGTCCTCCGCAGTTCACGTGCTCTTGAAGAGCGATGTGCCGGGCCCACGTCAACGCAACTGCAACCACAGCACACGCTGGCATATGCCGCAAATGAACACCACTGATGCGGAGAGCGAAGAGGTGCCATCACGATCGCCACAGTGCCGGCGGGGTTTAGGACTTGTCGCGATTTGTGGATCACGTTGGATGCTGACGACACCGTCGATGTCTGCGACGCAGCACCACTCAGAAGAGTTCAAAAAGGGAACTACACGATGCCGATACTTGAGGCAAAGGTGGCGGTCTCGCAGGCGCCAAGCTGCATGTGCCGATATTTGAGGAAATGTCACATTTTGATGGCATTTGACGGTCTGCGTACGCCCACGATGGCGTTGCTAGCTTGCTTCTAGAGGTAGCGGCCCTCAAAGAGAAATCATCAATCACTTTTTTTTGAAAAGGGGGTAAGGTGGAAATAAAATGTTCACCGCATTTACCGCACCACCCTTTGATTTTGTCTTTATTTATTTGGGGACTTTATCCCTTTTCTGGCCCTGCTGAAGCACAGAAGTTATTTGGGAAGTTGTGCATATTTATGCTCTGCGGGAGCGAGCACCAAAGTTGTAATGATTTTTCGGGTTGTTAAAATTATACGACTCGAGGATTATGCGAGGTTTTCACGTGATCCCGTGAAGGTCGTATAATCGGGGTTCCACTATGATGCACTCATCCTTTGCGTACCTCAAGTCTAATTGGAAGCAATAATAAACCTGGACCGCTGTGCCAGTGCCGCGTGGCATACTGGGCTGCTGGGCATGGCTGGAGTGGTGTGTGTGTGGTCTTCCAGAAAGATTAGCAGACTGGCCGACGAAACATAGACTTCGCTTTTCCGTGCAACCTTGGCTAATGATGACCCTGCAACGTGCAAAAGAGGACGAGGAATGCCTCGTTAAAAGAGAAGTTCTCAGCTGTGTTGTTTTATCAGGTAGCATTGCACACGACTGTGAGCAAACAGCTTTTTGTTTGTTTTTTTCTTTTTAGGGGAGAGGCTGGGGTCAGCTGACTGTCGGCTTGTTCTCTTAAATTGTTTTGGTTCTTTATTTTTTTTATTAGTTTGATTTGTTTATCTGCAGAATAGTTTGTTATACTCTCTTGCACACTTTGGCCATCACCGTGTCAAGAAAACTAGATTGATCTAAGTGCACAAATTTTTCTAATGTTATATAGAAGTGCCTAAGAAGTCAATGTCTTGGTGTGTGTTACCATGGGAGAATCCCGCAACTGCAAATTTGGCATTGCTGTGCCTCTGATGACTAAAGGACTGTCGAGAGAGTACACGGCTTGTGCCGTGCACAACAAAAAAATGTGCTTGTTTATAAAAGGAGAATGTTTCAGTGCACATGCAAGTTTTCAGCCAGGACATAAACCACGCTGCCTCGC